CAGGAGGGAGGCTCCAGTCCCCAGGCTGGGCTCCAGGCTGTGCTGCAGGGACTGCGGCTGCCCCTGGAGCTGTGCTGAGGGTGTCTCCCTGTCCTCCCCTCAGTGCCACTCACCAGGCTGGCCGAGGAGTCAGACTTCGTGGTGGTCACCTGTGCCCTGACGCCGGCCACCCAGGGCATGTGCAACAAGGACTTCTTTGGCAGGATGAAGAAGACTGCAGTGTTTGTCAACACCAGCAGGTACTGGCAGCCCAGAGCCGTGCCTGGAGAGTGGCTTTGGCCCTGACACAGCTCTGAGAGTGGGGGGATCTGCTGGGCTGCGAGTCCAGGCAGCCTTCATGGCTGCAGCCGCTGGGAGCATTTGCCAAGGCCCCTGGGGAGTGAGCCAAAGGCACAGTAAATTATTCAGCAGCTCTTCCCCAGTGTGGGCAGCTGGAGAGGGGGCAGCTCTCTGCTGGGGGGCTCAGGCACACCCAGAGAGGGTCTGAGCCCTGCCCAGGCAGTCCTGGGGACCCCGCCTCGGTGCCCGTGGGGCCCTGAGCAGTGACACAGGCGTCGCGTGGCGCTGGCAGGGGCGCCGTGGTGAACCAGGAGGACCTGTACGAGGCCTTGGCCCAGGGGCAGATCGCGGCCGCCGGGCTGGACGTCACCACGCCGGAGCCACTGCCCACTGAGCACCCGCTGCTGAGCCTCAGGAACTGCGGTGAGCCCTGCTCGCAGCTGCTGCCTCCGCACCCGCGGGGGTGACAGGACATCCTGCTCTGCCAGGGCGCACGGAGCACGGGACAGGCGGGCCAGGTCTGGTTAGGTGGGCTGCTGTACAATGCAGGGAGCTGCTGTGGGGTGAGAACTCATCAACATGATGGGAAACAAGTGTGGGAGCTGTTCTAATGGTCCAGAAAGCCATTGAGATAAGCTTTGTGGTGGCCCTTCATTGGAAGGTGTGAAATTTGTGCAGGATCTGGTATCAGCAGGTGCATGAAGGAGAAACCAGCTCCCAGCTCAGCCCCTGCCCAGCTCCCTGTGGGCTCCTGGGCACACACTGTGATGGAAAGCTCCCCAGTGACTGAGGGTGGGCTGCTGGGTGTGCCTGGAGGAGTCCTGGTCCCGGGAATGCTGCTGGGCTGCCATGGGCAGCCTGTTAGCTGGCTGGTTCAGCACTGGGCAGGTGGGACACGGGGCAGGCCAGGGCTGAGACCTGCCTTCTGTGCAGGAGGATGATGCAGGTGAGGAAGGGGCTTGCTTGCCTAGTGTCTCACAGGCTGTCCTCCCTCCAGGGGAGAGGGTTTCTGGGGTAGGAAAAGTATGCTCCAAAAAGAAAGCATAGGGACATCCATGAAAATTTGGACCTGCCCATGACCAAGTGTCTGTTTCTGAAATACAGACCTGTAGCTGCTGTTTTATCTTTTTGCTAAAACTCATTTTTTATTTGTTTGCACTGTTCCTCAAAGTAGACAGTGTGAGGAGTGATAAGAGCTGAGGCTTTCTGGAAACATTTGCAGGACTAGGAGATTTGGTATCTGTGAAACAAGACCAGGCAGGACTAATCGCACACATGTATTTATTGAGTGCATTAGTTACAGCAGCAGTACCACATATTTGTTAATAAACAACCTCTGCTGGGTGCTGCAGCTGTGTCAGCCCTGGGAGGGGCTGCGGGGGCAGCGAGAGGTGAGCAGTGTCCCTGCTGTCCCCGCAGTGATCCTGCCGCACATCGGCAGCGCCACGTACGCCACGCGCAGCACCATGGCCGTGCTGGCAGCCCAGAACCTGCTGGCCGGGCTGCGAGGGGAGCCCATGCCCCACGAGCTGCACCTCTGAAGGCCAGGCCCGATGGCCAGCCCCTGGTGATGGCCAGACCCTGCTGCAGCTGCCAGCCTGTGTCCCCTCCCGGCGTGGCCAGGAGCCATTAAAGAGTAGCAGCCAAGCAAGGTGTGGTGCTGGTGTTTTTTGAGAGCAGGGCACGTGGTGGGGCAGTGTGGGTGCCAGCAGGCCGTGGGGAGGGGCTGGCCCTGCATGGGGGTGCTTGCTGTGCTGGGGGTACCCAAGGGAGCTGCTGGAGCAGAGCCCCTGGTGATGGCCAGCCCCTGGTGATGGCCAGACCCTGCTGCGAGGGACGCCAGCCTGTGTCCCCTCCCAGCGTGGCCAGGAGCCATTAAAGAGTAGCAGCCAAGCAAGGTGTGGTGCTGGTGTTTTTTGAGAGCAGGGCACGTGGTGGGGCAGTGTGGGTGCCAGCAGGCCGTGGGGAGGGGCTGGCCCTGCACGGGGGTGCTTGCTGTGCTGGGGGTACCCAAGGGAGCTGCTGGAGCAGCAGCTGTCCTCAAAACCAGGTTGCTATCACTGTGGGAGGGCAGGGGTGCCTTCCCTGGGCTGGGAGCCAGGAGGGAGCAGCTGTGTCCATGCAGGCTGCTGCTGCCACAGGAGCTGCTGCTGCCAGCCCACACACCAACTGGTCCAGTGGCATCAGTGGCACTGCATCACCCTCTGCTTGAGGGGTCTAAAGAAAAGCACACACCAGGCTTGTGCAGCTCCCCAGGAACCTCCAGCTCTATCCATAAGCAATCCCAGGCACAGCTCCAGAGTGGATGGCATTCACTGGGAGGTTCTGCCACCCCTGTGCAGGCTCTGGCTGCAGCTGCCCTCGTGGTTCTCCGATGTGCAGTGACATTTGTTGGTGCAGAGGAGAGCCTGGGCAGAGCCTGAGCCTGCAGCTGCCTGGAGAGCCTGATGGGCACATCCCCAGGGCTTTGGGGATCCAGGTGTCCTGCAGCCACTGCCCCACTTCCATGGAGGGGGCTGGAACCTGAGCCCACCTGTCCATGCCACCGGTTACAGAATCATGGAATGGGCTGGGTCGGCAGGGACCCTGTGGATCATCTCATTCCAGCCCCCTGCCATGGGCAGGGACACCTTCCCCTGTCCCAGGCGGGTGCAGGCCCTGTCCAGCCTGGCCTTGGGCAGCCCCAGCTCTGAGGAGCCTGGGGTCCAGCTGGCCCATCCCGCCCTGGCCTTGCCATGGCCTGTCCCCATGTGCCCTGCCACCATCGGTGACCGCGTGGCAGACAGGACAGCCCTGTCACAGCCCTGTCACAGCCACGCAGTGCTACCCACCCCAGGGAGCCCACAGTGTGCTCTGCAGGTCGCTCTCACCATCCCAAACCAGCTCCTCGTGCTAAGGAGGACACCTGGGCTCAGGTGCCTTGTGAGCTGTGGCTCTCTCTCCACCAGCCTCCACAGCAGCCCCTGTGGCATGCCCAGCTGGACAGTGGTGCCAGTGGCTGACCCGCCCCACTGGGATGGGTTTGTACAGCTTTTCCCACTGCTGTGCCCCAGGACAAGCCCCACTGCCTGCCCTGTGCCCTCACCCTGGCAGGGGACAGACAGGGCAGCAGAGCTTTTGGGGCCAGCAGCACAAGGGGAGCAGTGGGAAGGAGGGAAGGGTCCTGGGGTGAGCAGCAGGCAGCACCACATCCCTGGCACCATAACCAGGGCCCAGCACACAGCCTGCAGCCAGAGCTGAGGCTCAGCCAGCACACCCCGTGTCCCTTCCTGTCCTTTGTGCCACTCTGCTGGGATGTCCTGGGCGCTCAGTGAAGTGCTCTCTGATAGCAGTAACACCTGGGGGAGTTGTCCTGCATCACAGGAGGAATTCTGACACATTTATCAGCAATAAATCTCATGCTTTTGATTCACAAGCATGTGATTGGCTTGTGCTGGCCTGTCAGAAATAGTTCTGGAGGTTTGGAACCTGGACTGAGCAGGGAAGACTGGTGCCCGTGGTGGTGGGGAGGAAGGGAGTGCGCTCTGGGCATCCCAGCTGGCTGGGGAGCTCCGAAAGGAGCCAGTGGAACCAGGGCTGACTCTGCTGTGAGAACGGCATGGCTCACTGCTCTCCAAGATTCCCAGTGCTGGCACTGCAGATTCTGCTGCTGGTGGGGCTGCTGTGACACCGAAGGATGGTGACCGAGCACCTGAGAGGCTCCTGCTGGTGACAGGGACGGAGCTGGTGCCTGAGCAGCTGTGCCAGACTCCCCAGGTGTGTTGACAAACAGCCACGAGCTGCCAAATCAGCTGCCACAGGACACTGGGCTCAGGAGTCCATCCCAGAACTCCCTGGAGACAAGCACCTCCTGCACCTGAAACTTCTTCCCTTGAGGAATCCAGAGAGCAGCACTGACCACGGGTCATGAATTTTACAGGTGCAAATGTTATTTCATTAGCAAAAGTAATACAGAGAACTCTGCTGGGGACAAAATTATTACCTAGGTCAGGATTTTATGATCCCTTGTGCAGTCACAATTTTTTCTGTGCGTAGAGAGCACCCAAGCAGTGAAGGCAGGCAGACACAGCCACACAAAATGCAGGGTTTATTTCCAGGTGCTTTGGAACAGACAGCCCCACGCCTCCACGCGAGATGCCACGTGCACAGCTGCACTCTGAGCACAGCACAAGCTCTCCAGGCTGGAGCAGGCAGCTCAGGCCCCAGGGGTTTATTCATGCCATTCCCAGGAATTTATTGCTTGGTTCAGGAAGACTCAGGAAGCTGCAGAGGCAGCTGCAGGCCTCACACCAACTGACCATGGAATTTAAACTGCACTGCACTGCCAAACCTCTTCACAAAGAAAGATTACAGAAGTCCTCCTGCACTGATTTTCCATGCTAAAATTCTGATAAAAACACTTCAAGAGTCCAGTCAAGTGTTTATCTGCTCGTATTAGTTCCTAGTTAGTCTCACTGCGCAAAGAGATGCTTCATTCCAGAACATTGCAACAATTCAAATGTGGATGTGCTACAGGAAACACATGAAAAAAAGCCTTGTTTTTGAAATGCAAAACACTGAAAATGCAATGAGGATGAAAGTGTTACTTAATAAAGCAACACAAGAAAGTATTGAAGTACAAAATACTGCATTTTATTGATGTTTGGGAGAGTGTTTATGCAGCTCCATGCTGTTAGTCCCCAGTACTGAAATTATTTAAAACAAAACACAGCATATCCCACTGCTTTAAAAAAGTGTTATTTTAATGCTTTAAAAAAAAATCAAGAGCCAGAGATATGATCATTAAGTAAAGCCTATAACAAGATATTAACATTTTGAAGGAATTAATCCAACCATCTCCTGTGTTTGCAGTCCTCAGATGGTCAGGGTGCAAACGACAGGCTGACAGGGCAGGTGCAGGGAGTCCTCTGTCTCACCTGAGCAGAAGGACACGCTGCAGCCTGGAGCCAGCCCCTGGGTCTCCATCAGCAGAAATGCTCTGGAAGTTTGTTTTAAAACTTAGGAATGCTGAGCCCAGTCCGTGTGCACCTTTGACAAGGAAGAAAGGAGACTGCAGGCAGTGTTAAGTGACAGTGGCACCAAAGAAGAGGAAGTTAAAAAGTAATTTTACATTACTTATGTGGAGAAACACAACTTCCTGCTGTGTGTGTACGGTGCCATTTCTTTAAAATTAATTTTACATTAGCTGTTTTTAAAATGTAAGGGGGAAAGTACTTTAATGACACTAGTTTAGGTGGATTTGACAAGGACATTTTACAAATGTGAGGCAGCCGTGCCCTGCAGCCAGGAGGGCCAGCCAGGTGCTGGGGGTGTCAGCAGCAGGGTGAGGGGGGATTGTCCTGCTCTGCTCTGCTCTGGGGCAGCCTCACCTCAAGTGCCAGGGCAGTTTGAGCACCATCATGCAGACATTAAGCTGTTAGAGCCTGTGCAAAGGAGGCCATGGGGCTGGTGAGGGGTCTGGAGAGGGAGCTTTACAAGGAGCACTTGGTTTGCTCAGCCTGGAGGAGAGGACACTGAGGTCAGACCTCACCAGGGCCTTCATCCTCCTCGTCATCCTCCCGAGGAGCAGCAGAGGGGCAGGTACAGACCTCCTCACTCTCGTGAGCAGTGACAGGACGTGAGAAAACAGCTGAAGGGGAGCCAGGGGAGGTTTGGGTTGGCTATCAGAAAGGCTGTTCACCCAGAGGGGGCTCTGGCACTGAACAAGATCCCCAGGGACAGGGTCACAACCCCAAGGCTGCCCGAGGTGAAGAAGTGTCAGGCACAAGATGGGATGGTGGGGGTATCCCCTGCGAGGCCAGGAGCTGGACACAGTGATCCCGAGGGCTCCCCTGCACCCGAGCACAGCCTGTGATCCTGTGCCATGTGGCAAAGGAGGATTGCTCCTGACCTAGGAGCCGCGTGCTCCACCGACAGACCCACAGCTGCCAAGGGAAGTCGCCCAGAGTGCAGGGCAGGAAATTAAAGCCTGGAGATAAGAGGAAAAGACAACGTGCTCACGCCCATACCGGGGACCAGATGGACTGTGGGCATCTGGGAACAGCGAGATGCTGCTTGCCTCCCGTGGCAAAAACAGCCAGCACAGATTCCCTCTCCTTCAAAACGACAGACAAAGACAAGCTCTGCTCAAACTTCTGCGTATATAGAATTGTAACATAGGCGATACAAACTGGTTAAAATACTGCTAGGAATAGCACAAACAAGAGACAGTACTTCACTTACCACTTAATACTCGTTTCTACGGAAAAAAAAACAGCCAAATATCCAGATCTTGCTGTATTAAAGTTATATGTACACCTGGCAGTCCAAAAGTTACTTGTCTGGGATTTAATTTAAGCACCTTGATTACACAGTGTCCTTTACTACAAAACAGCCAAACATACATTCATAATCCTAGAACTATTGTCATAATTAGCATATTTTAAAGCATTATGTCAGACGGGTGCAGCCTAAAGCCGTTTTTCTCTTTTAAAGGTAAGGGCTCTGCACCACCATCCTCACGTAATGCAGCAACTCATGTTACAGTAATCATTTAAATGCTTTCACTGTTACAAAATGCTTTAGAGAGAAGGGAAAAAAAAAAAAAAAAGAAAGAAACGCGCACGTCAGTTCGCTGCTCTCAAACCGTGCTGTGTCAGGAGACCCCCGTGCTGTCACCCCTCTGCCCTGCAAAGGGGCTCTTGGCCGTGGGGTCACATCCCCGCCCCCCAGTGGGGTCTCACCCCCATCCGTGGGGTCTCACCCCCATCCCGGGGTCTCATCCCCATCCCGCCGCGCGGCTCCGGCGGCGACACCCGCGAGGTAGGTACCGGATATCCCCAATGGCAGAGCCAAGACTGTGTTTGGCACCGTGGCACGCCGGTGTGCGCCCGCCCGTCTCCTCCGCGCCGGGCCGGCGGCTCACAGCAAGCTGCTGGGCAGGTTGCTGCTCTGCCACCTGAGGCAGGTGGTCTTAGAGTGTTTGTAGAGGTGGCTGGACTGGCTGAAGCGCTTGCCGCACTTGAGGCAGGCGTAGGGCTTCTCCCCCGTGTGCACGCGGATGTGCTTCTTGCAGTCCGTCAGCGTCAGGAAGGTCTTGCAGCAGATCTTGCAGGCGTACTTGCGCGCGCCCTCCACCACCAGCACGTTGTGCTCCGACAGGGCCTTCTTGCACTTGGACAGCACGTCGGCCGAGGCGCGCGTCAGCTGCGGCGGGCCCGGCTGCGACAGGTGCCCGCCCTCGAAGGACGCGCTCCCGTTCATCATCAGCTGCGACCCCGAGGAGCTCTCCTGCAGCTGCGAGCCCCGCACGGACGTCACCACGGGCATTTTGGGGGCGATGCGGCGGTAGCCGGGAAAGCCACCGGCCCCGCCTCGGACGGAGCCCATCATGGCCCGAGACAGCGAGTGCAAGCCCAGGCCTGAGCGCGGGAAATCCATGCCGAACTGCTCCGCCGCTCGGTAGCCGGAGCTCTGCACGCAGGGCAGGCCCATCACGTCCTGCATGGGCCTCACGAAGTGGGAGTCCGTGGGCTCACTGAAGGGGTTCTCCACGTGCGAGACAGCGGCAGAGGAGTGGCCGCCGGCGGACCCCGACTCCGGGCTCATCAGGTAAGGGGCGTCGCTGTCCATCCTGCAGTCGCTGGTGGTGTTGGGAATGTTGTCGTCGTTGTTCTGGCTGGTGCCAAAGCCGCCCGCCCTGCTTTTATTCAAGAAATTGGAAATGCTGAAAGAAGACTTGTGTTCCAGGTTGTTGGCCACGTCCATGATGTGGATGTCTCCCACCCTGTCGGTGCTGGACTGAGGGTCAGAGAAGCTGCGGTCACTGCTCTCGGGACTCAGCTCTATCTTCTCTGCACTCACCACGCCTCCTTCCACCTCCACCGACTCGCTGCCCTCCGCCTGGGAGGTGACGTCGCTCACCTCGTCCTGAGGCTCCGGGGAGCTCAGGGGCTCGGACTTCACCACCACCCTCATGTGCTCCTTCTCATTGAGGCTGACCTCCGGGTTTTCACACGGGAAGTTGCTCTTCTCAGCAGCAGCCTCCTGGTCGAAGCTGGTTTCCACCTGCGTGGCCTGGGAGGCCATGGACATCTGGGAGATGTTCCCCCCGCCGTTGTCTGACTGGCTGGGCACCTGAGCGTCCTCCTGAGCACCGAAAGACTGGTCGAACATGATCGTGTTGTCCTCCTGGTTGTCGGCAACCGCGTCGGCCTTGGGGTTGTCCACGATCTTCAGCGAGTCGGGGGAGAAGAAATCCTCCCGCGAGTGCACCACGGGCTGCCCGCTCTCGGCGGCCACGTCGGCCACGGGCTCGTCCATGGCGGGGCGGATGCGCTGGCGGGCGCGCTCCTCGGAGGACTGCTTGCGCTTGTGCAGGCGGCGCATGGGGAAGGCGGCGCGCTGCTCCAGCCCGCCGCGCAGCGCCGCGCCCACGGCGCCCGGCGGCTCCTCGGCGCCCTGCGAGGAGCCCAGCGCCGAGCTGACGATGCTGAGCCCCAGCTGCTGCAGCATGAAGGAGCGCTGCAGCCGCGCGCTCTGCTCCTGCGCGCGCTCGCTGGGCGGCGACAGCGGCAGCGTCCGCGTGGTCAGGTAGTGCTTGCAGGCCTTCACCACCGAGTTGAGGTGCAGGTGGGAGGCGGCCAGCAGCACGTCCATCACGTTGCTCTCGCCCAGCATCAGCGTGGAGGTGTACATCATGTCGATGAGCGCGGCGAAGGCCTCGGCCGTCACCACCTCGCTGTCCAGCTGGATCATGTTCATGCTCTGGTCGCCCTCGGCCACGGTGAAGAGCGCGCGGAAGTGCGTGCTGCAGGCGGCCAGCACCGAGCGGTGCGCCTTGAAGTGCCGGCTGCCCACCACGATGACGCAGTCGCACAGCTGCCCGTGCAGACGCTGGTAGTTCAGCTGCTGGAAGACCTGCTCAAAGTGCCCCGGGAAATCCATGGTCCTGCAAAACACGAGAGCAGCGCTGGGTGGGACACCGGAGGAGCAGGGGGAGAGGAGCTGGGATTGCTGAGCCTGCAGGGGGGCCTCGCCGTGCCCTTCCAGCTCTGAGGGGGCCACGCTGAAGGTGGGACAGCACTATGAGTCTGCAGAGCAGGAGGAAAGGGAACGGGTTCAAACTGAAGGACAGCAGCAGAGGATGGGATTGTTGGATTGTTCCTGGCAGGGTGGACAGGGCCCTCTGCAGAGCAGGAGGAAAGGGAACGGGTTCAAACTGAAGGACAGCAGCAGAGGACGGGATCGTTCCTGGCAGGGTGGGCACAGCTGGGGCTGCCCCTGGATCCCTGGCAGTGCCCAAGGACACCACGGCTGGAGCAGCCTGGCACGGGGGAAGGTGTCCCTGCCGTGGCAGGGTGCAGCAAGACAAGGTGCCCTCCCAGCCCAACGTGCTGCACGACCCTGTGGCTGCTCGGGCTGCAGTGACCCTGGCAGTGAGCTGACAGACAGACAGACAGACCCTGGCCTGAGTGCACCACCACCACAGGGGCACAGGAGCAAAGCCAGCAGTCTGCAGGGCAAGGAAGAGCAGGGAAAGCCCAGGCTCTGCCACAGAGCTGGCCTCAGCACCACAGTGCTGGACCTGGACAGCGTGGGGCACCTCACACCCTGAGTAAAACACCCAGTCCTGCCTTGCAGGAAAGTCTGATTACAGCAACAACGAGCTGCTCACAGAGGTGGTAACCCTCCACAGGAGCACCAGGGCTGCCAGCAAGGCAAGGCACGGCAAGGCACGGCCAGACAGGCAGGCAGGCAGGCTGGCTCCTTCTCCAATTCCCACTATCCGTCCTGCCAGTGGAGTCACTCAGCACTGCTACCTGGGCGACCCTCGGCAACATCCTGACTGCTCCTCAGGAAACAGCCGAGTGTGAGACCTGCAGGGCAGGCAGGCTGCGCACGGGCACTCGCACACAGCTCCCTGGGCTCACGTTTATCTTCCAGCAGCATCGACGGGCACGAGACCATACACCAGCCAAAAACACCTCACACGGCCAGAACTGCGCTTTTGAGGAGGGATCGACTGGAACTCTGCCGATTCCGAAGCCCAGCCTCAAACAGGGGCGCGCCTGCTGTTCTTCCCTCCTGCCACCCCTGTCTCTGCCGGGACATCCCGGGAATCCCCCGTGCGTCCTCGGACGTTGTCAGAGCAGGCAGATCACCCACAGTTACTGCCCAGAGCACTCAGCACGGGGAAATTCAGCCCTGCACAGCCTCTGAGAGGCGCGGGACGTTGACTGCCGCCGGGTCTCCGCTGAAAGGCGCTCTTCCCAAACACTGCCTCATTTCCCCCGTTTTCTCCTCTCCGCGTCACCGGGAACAGCCAAGACGCGCGCCCCTCCCAGAGAGGCGGCCCGGCGGGGCACGGCCCGCACCGGGGGACGCCGTTCTGAGCGCACACGGGACATGAAGGGCACACCGGGGAGCCCCGCGCCGCGCCGCGCCCCGCTCACCTGGGTGTCCGTGCGGGCAGGGCCCGCGGGGCTCGGGCGGCTCGGGCCGGGCTCGGCTGGGATCGGGCCTAGGCCTAGGCCTGCCGCTGGGCTCGGCCCCGGCCCCGCTCCCGCCGCGCCGGCCCCGCCCCGCCGCGCCGGCACTCCGCGTCACTTCCGGCCGCTGGCGGCGCGGGCCCTGCCCACAGCCAATCGGAGGCCGCGGTACTGCCAGGCCGCGGCGGGGGGTCTCACCGGGGCCGGGCGCGGGCGCGGGGCGGGTGACGGGCCGGCGCTGGCGGCGGGCCCGGCGCTGACGGGTTCCTCTCCCGCAGTGCGGTTCGCCAACGGGCGGCTGGAGCGGCCCGAGTCGCTGCGCTTCACGGTGTACCGGAACCGGGACTCGGCGCACCCGCGGAAGAGGCACCGGCGCATCCTGGTGAGGCCGGGCGGTGCGCGCACGGGGCAGCAGTGCCGGTTTGCGGAGCGACCGTGCGGAACCGGGGCCGGGCGCTCCCGGCCGGCACGGGCAGGGCTGGCACGGGGCGCCCAGAGCAGCCGGGGCTGGCACGGGGTCCCTGGCAGTGCCCAGGGCCAGGCTGGGCACTGGGGACAGGGGAAGGTGTCCCTGCCATGGCTGGGGGGGCTGGGGGGCTCTGATGGCCCAGACCAGTCTGGGACTGGGAAATCCCTGATGAGATTGGCAGCAGGGTTTTTTAAACAGTCAGAGTTGAGCCCAGCATGCTGCACAGGGACGTGTCCCAGGGCAGTGTCCCCGTGTCCCTGGCACTGCCGTTCCTGAGGGACACTGCCGGGGGCAGCTGGCAGAGCAGGGGCGAGCTGAACTGCTGGCAGCTGTGGGGATTTGGGAAAGCAGCAAAAGGCAGGCCCCAGAGACAGCAGAACTGAGATTGGGGCTCAGCAGCAGCCGCAGGAAAGGTCAGCAAGGACATTATGTAAGAAGCAGAAAATATGAACAAATGGAACAATGGCCTTGTATTAACGCTTGTCCAGAATAACTCCCTAGTCTGCAGGAAAGTGTATCTAGCAGGACATTAGGAAGTTGTAAGTGTAGCAATGGAGCTCTGTGCGCTGTGTTTGAAGGCGTGCAGGCAGGTGTTGTATTTGAAACAAGCAAGCTTGTTTTAACAAAAGGAGCGTGTGCTTACAGTGGTTGGATAGACAGAACTACCGTCAATATGCTTTTGATTTGTGGGATTGCTCAAAAAGCTGTAATAGTGAGTTGCAGCATTCTGCAGAGCAGAGAGGCCAGCGCAATCTCAGGATGCACTGCAGACACCTCTGGGTGCTGGGGCAGCTGCACAACTGCAGGCACTTCCAGGGGTTCTCTGCTTTCACTCAGCCCTTTCCAGGGCGCTCTCCTGCTTCCCCTCAGCCTTCCAGGGGTTTCTCTGCTCTCCCTCAGCCTTTCCAAGGATTTCTCTGCTTCCCCAGGTCTCGGAGACAGAGCGGCTCTGCTACGTGGGGCACAACTTTGGCAGCGAGGTCACGAAGTGCAACTCCCTGTGCAGGTATGGAGCAGGGGCACAGGGGCTGCTCACACTCAGAGCTGCTGCTCCCTTCCCTTCCCTTCCCTTCCCTTCCCTTCCCTTCCCTGCCTCAGGGTTCCTCCCGGGGCTTTGGGCAGGGGGCTCTGGCTGTGGTGTGTAAATCAGACCAGGCTGAAAACGTCTTGTGCAGTCTGGGGTGAGGATGTGGATAGTGCAGCAGCAGGATGGAGCTGTTTCCAGGAAGGAGAGATGGAGGAGCTGCCTTTATCAGCAGCTGGTCAGTGCTGAAGGGTCGTGGTTTGAGGCCCTTGCAGCTGAGGAGCTCTGCAGTCGTGCAGCAGGACCTGGCTTCCCTCTGCAGAGCCTGTCAGAGCACAGCCACACCACCTCAGTCCTGGCTGACAGTGCCCCCAGCAGGGGTGGATCCTCTCATGGACCAGTGTCCCCTGTGAGATGCTGCAGCTGAAACAAGAGCACCAGGGGTGTGTTTCTGCTCGGTCTGGAGAGAGAAATGCAGTTTAACAAAGGTGTGTGGTGTTAGTTCAGCACTGTTGGTGGGCAGATTTTAGTGCTCCTGCCTCTGAACACTGGTGAGCAGTGGTTCTGGGGGCTGAGGTGCTGCTTGCCTGCATCTCTGAAGATCCAGGGCTCTGGAGGAAATTTGGAAATTTGGTGTGGTTCGAGCCATGGCCATCAAGTACTGGCATAGCAGAAAAATGCAAAATAAAACAGCAGAGCTGTGGCACCCACACATTACCTAATTCAGTAGATTCCAGACTTGAGCATTTACTTAGAGTATCAAGTCTTTCTGTTTCTGTATGTACACGTGCCTTGGAGATAACCTGGGTTATCACAGCACTGTGTGTGCAGGGCAGGAGAGCTGCTGGGGTGTGAGAAGACCACATAATCTAAATAATTGCCACTGCTCTGCCTCTCACTAATCAGCTGCCCCCGTTCTCCCCAGGTACTTTGTTGGAGTGCTAGACAAGAGCTCTGGGCAGATGGAGGTCTACAATGCTGAAATATTCAACATGCAGCCCCTGCTCTCAGGTGGGAGGTGCTGGGAGTCACAGCTGCTGGCTGGCTCTGTCCTTCCCCTTCCTGCCTTGTTCCCTCGGCTGCAGCAAGGACAATTCCTTCACCTGTGCATGCAGGAGAGGGGAGCACAGGCTGGGGTGGGAGTCACTCACAGAGTGTCGCTGCTCAAGTGCAGCCTAGTCTGGGTGTGCTCTGCTGGGGGAGGCCTGACACTCCTCAGGAATTGGACCCCTGAATAAAAGAAATAACAAAAAAACCCCAAAACAGGTTTTATCCAGCAGGACTGTTTTTTGTCATTGACCCCAGGATAAGAACCCAAAAGATGATGACTTTTGGTCGCTGATTCTTACCCTGTGCAGCAGGATGTGGGTTGGACATGGTCCATGTACTGCGCCCATGGGCTTTGCAGAAAAAGCCTTTTTTTCCCCCAGATTCTCCTGTGTGGAGTGTCCTTTAATTATCCAGGTCACATGGAGGAGATCCTGTGCCAAGTCTGTCAGTCACAGGGTAAAGGAATGCCTGTGGTGGCTGCTGTGCCCAGGCACAGCCACTGTTGATGTCTTGCAGATAACGTGATGCCTGACGACACGAAGGAGTACCAGAAGAAATCCTACAGGGAGAAGGTAAAGTGGGAAGCTGTGCCATGCCCTGCCGTGACTGTCCTGCAGGGTAAACCCAGTGCCCAGCAGGCAGGACAGGCTCAGGGGTGTTCCCCTGGTTTCCTGGTTGTTTTAGGCTGGTCACCAGCCCAGTGACCCGCTGCCCTGGCAGACCAGGGTCTGCGCTGCGGGTTTTGCCTCGTGGGGAGTTCACAGCTCTGTCAGAGGCCCTGTCTGCGGAATGAGCAGCGGGGTGTGTGCTCCCCTGGGTGCCCAGGGCGTTTCTGAGCGCGCTGTGCCCTGTGCAGATGGATCTGTGCATCGAGGCCTTCGGGACCAGCAAGCAGAAGCGAGCTCTGAGCTCTCGCCGCATGAACGCCGTGGGCAGCGACATCGTCAGCACGGCCGTGACAAAAGCAGCTGCCAACGTGATAGACTCCAAGGGAGTCACAGGTGAGAGGAGTCTGCCTCAGCTGTACTCAGGACAGCCTGCAGCGCCTTTCGCTGTCTGTCCATGCCAGGTGTGCTGGGAAGAAGAGGGGTTTTCTTTAGGTGATGAGGAGGTAGCTGGTTCAACAGCTGAGATGGGTACATGTAGGGGAGCTGCTCCTTTCTGGTCCTGCTGGGCTTGGTGTTGGAGTTGCCTGAATGAGGGAAGGTCCCTGTGACATCAGTGTCCATCCTGCCTTTGGAAGCTCCTGTGGGATATGGTTTCACTGGCATAAAGGCAGTGCCCTCAGCTGGTCTGAGCTCTGTGGCATGGCTGTTGAAAGGGCACCTTCTTACCTCAGAGAGTGGTGCAGCCCTGGGACACAGCACAGTGTGGTGGCACCATCCCTGGGGGCTTCCAGGCTGTGGCAGGAGAGCCCTGACTGTGGACATCTGGGAAGGAGGGCAGACAAGACCTGTCCAGAGCATTTCTGGGATCCTGGCAGTGTCACTGGCATGAACAGGAGAGATGTCTGTGGACTGCAGACCCCAGCACCTTTCACCCCTTCTGTTCCAGGGTGGATATTGACTGTGCTCTCAGAGCTGCTTTGTGCCAAGTGGGTGTCCACTGCAACACAGGTGCCAAAACCCTGCTCTGCCCACATCTTGGTGCTCTTCTTTCCTAGATGTTTCTCTAGTCTGGACTGGTCTTTCTAAATTTTTGATGTCCCGAAGGTTCTTGATAGAAGTTGTAAATGTGTAAAACTCCAGTTGTGACTAAAATAGTGTTGAGTTTGAGTGAACTTGCTTCTAAAGGAAGGATTTGGGTTGTGTTGCTGCTCCCTGCACTTTGGTTATCACGGTTCCAACGCTCCTGTCCTGCTTTCTCCCAAGCTCTGATGCAGGACATGGCCCAGGACGACGTGCAGAACATCTCTGCCTTCCTCCCGCCGTGCCACGAGGACGCCGACCGGCCGGAGCACGTCTACAAGTTTGAGGACTGTATCTTTTCTGTGCCGTGCAGCCACCTGGGGTGCTGGAGGCAAGCTGAGGCTCTGCCCCTCACAGGCCACGAGCTGGGAGCGAGGCGTTGGGGCTGCCCTGGGTTTTGGGGCCTGCAGGTGCCGTGTCCTGCCTCTGCTGCAGAGAGCAGGATGCTGTGCTTGTGCCACAGCCTGTGAGAGGCCTGGTCCCTGCACAGGTCATCCCCTTGCCCTGCGCCCTTGTTGGGTGAGTGTGACAGAACTGCCCTGCCTGGAGGGGCGAGGCCAGGTTCTTTTCCTTACAGTCCTGCCAGTGCTGTCTCCTGCTGAGTACGAGGCACTGCGGGTGCCAGCAGCCGCCCTGGCCAGCGCCACCGCGGAGGAGATAGCCAAGAGGGCAGAGGAGAGGAGGTGAGGCCCTGCCAGGGCCACCTCCTGGCTGAGGGGCACTGGGGCTGCTGCTGCCAGTGCCACGGCTCAGGGCACAGGGAGGGCGTGGGATCAGGCATGGCAGAGCAGCCCCTGCCTCGGGGAGGGTGGGGGACACCGGGTACACTGAACTCCCCCTCTCCTTCCTGCAGCCTCTGCTCCTTTGTTTTGGAGGAGCTGAAGTTCCTGCCCACTGATGAGAAGAGCAGGGACCACAAAGCCCGGTGCCTCTGGTTCCTGGACACCCTCATCAAGTTCAGCCAGCAGAAAGTGATCAAGAAGAAGCGTAAGAGAGTTTTCAGCTCATAAACACATGCTTTTGGGAAAGTCTTCATCATCCTTTGCTTGCCAGCTGAGTGTGTGGGTCATACCCCTGCCATGCTCAGGGTCCTGCTTGTGAAACAGCACCACACAAAACATTTTGGCTGAGATTTTCCAGACTTGCCATCCTCCTTAGAACTTGTGTGTCTTTGGCAGTCCTTGGCAGGGCTGAGGGAGGAGGAAGTGGGAAACCTGGCTTTAAATATCTTCCTGCATTGCTGGAGACACAGCAGGCACCCATGGGGCTTGTCTAAGGGGAATGTGGGAATGACTAGACTTGGTGATAGTTCTGTTAGTGTGGTCTCAGAACACTGTAACAGTGTTCTGTGGCAAAAGAAATGCATGCATAGCTGCATTTTAGATTGCACAGTATGGAACTGGGACACTGCTTTTACTGAGGAAATAAAAGCTGTTTGGATTCTCTCAGGCCTGATAAAGTAAGAGACCTAGAAAGGAAGCAGCAAGGTTCGTTTTGGGTTTGTTGTGTTCCTGGGAAGAGGCACTAAGTGGTGGGATTCCCGGGCTGGACTCGGTGATCCCAGTGGGAATTGTGATGGTCCATGCCGAGTGTCAGGGTGATACACGTGCTGCTGTGGTGGGTGGGCAGTGCAGGGCAGAGTGTGTGTTCTCATTCCACTGCAAAGCCCCTTTCTGCCCTAGATCCAATGGGTCCCGAGTGCCCACACATCATCAGCAAGAAACTCATGAAGAACTTCACCTCGCTGACCTACAACAACGGCAGGTGAGGGATGGTGTGTGATGCTCCTGGGGCACAGGCACGGCAGAGCTCAGCCTGAGGGGCCACAGACACACCATCAGGAACATCTCACGAGTTCTCCCTCTTGCCACACAGCATCCAGAATCTGATCTCTGCATCCATGAAGGCTAAAATCACCGCCTACGTCATTGCCCTGGCTTTGCACATCAACAACTTCCAGACGGATCTCACCGTCCTGCAGAACGACATGAAGCTCTCGGAGAGCAGGTGAGTCAGCCTGTTCCTTCACTCCTGCCAGGATCCTCCTACCCAAAGACCCTGGGAGTGTCTCTGGACCTGGGGAGGGCTTTAATTTCCCAGGCAAGGACAGGCAGTTGTCTGTGGGTGCAGGACCTGCATTTCCCAGGAATCACCTGGCAGCTGCAGCTCTGCTCCAGCTGTGCTCCTGTCCTCGGCCCTGCAGAGTTCATTGGATCAGGCTTTCTAGCCAGAACTTTAGTTTTTACTGGGTCTTACCAAAACCTTTGGTCACTTCTTGCTTTTCAAGCTTCCCCATTGGTTTTGATGCCACCACTTGTTTTGCCCACAGTTATCCTCTATCCTTTGATCAGAAGTGGTGGACTTAGTGGGTTTAAGAGCAGTCTGCTGTTGGTCTCCATCCATTTTCCCTTTTTCTTTCTGGGGCTGAGCTTTCCCAGGAGTCCACGTTGGCTTTGGCAGTTGATGCCCGGGTTTGGGTTGTGCTGTGGGAACGCAGGCCTGGGGTGCTGTGGGGAAAGCACGGAGCAGGCTGGGAGCTGCTGGAAATGCAGCAGTGCCCTGTCCCCAGGAGGGCTCAGCTGCTGCCTCCAGGGCCCCGCTGTGCACAGAGACCCCTCTGGGGCTGTGGGGTCAGGCAGGGGCTCAGCCCCCGATCCATCTCTCCTGTTCCCCAGGATCCTGGACATCGCCAAGGCCCTGCGGCTCAGGGTGTCCAAGGCCAAGGGGCTGCCCGGGCTGGAGGATGACCAGAACCACAAGCTGGGCACTCTGTCCCTGCCCCTGCCCACGCAGAAGGCGCCAGAGGGGCGGCGCAAGCGCAAGAAAATGAACTGAGGGGCCCTGGAGCTCTGGGGGGACACAGCCCCTCCCTCAGGATGTCATGGGGATCCTTCATCTGCTGGGTTTGGGTCCAGCCCTCATCCAGCTGAAACCCAGGCTGAGGGTTTCACCTCACTGAAATGCTGCTTTTTTCTATGTATATAGAAAAAGCTATAATAAAACATTCTTTTTTCTAGTTTGTCTGGGGTGGGTGTGACATGGAGGTCGTGAAGGGAACAGGTTCTGGGTCATGGCCCCTCCCAGGTTCAAGGTTGGAAGCAGGGAGACAAAGAGTGTGATTTACATACACCTTTTTGTTTCTCTGGAGTGTCAGTGTAATCCTGTGTTCAAAAACTGTGAAGATGTTTTTGTCACTTTTGCTACCCTGGCTATTTTCCTGGGGGAGGGAGAGGTCTGTGATGTGGAGCTGGTATCACCCTCCTGGAGAGCAGTGAGCTGTGGCTTCCCAGCCCTCTGCAGAGATCCTTCAGTCTGGTTCTTCTCATTCCCACTCCTGGGTGCTCAGCTCACAGGAGCTGTGTGCTTCAGTAGGGCTCTAGGAGTCAGGCGGGCTTGTGAGAAACAGCATCAGCACCAAACTGGTGTGTGAAACGAGCATGGAATGCCAGAGGACACCATCTCTCTGGGACGTAGCTGCTTCAGACAGCAGTGTGGGTTTGGAACGTCCTATTGGGATTTATGTGTCCCCTGACACACCTCACAAACTCTCTTCTCTCACCTGTGCTGAGCAGTGACACAAACATCCTGTGTTCAGGGGAGGGGATCCTTGCTGCTGTGGGAATTGCAGGCCCCAAGTAATGAACAGGGCTGGAAGGGACTTCTGGAGGTCTCTGTCCAGCCCCTGTCCCTGCTCAAAGCCTGGCGCCAGGTGCCCAGGACTGTGTCCAGGTGACTTTGGAGTGTCTGGTTACAGAACTGCACACATTCACAGTGAAGCAGTGTTTCCTGACGCTCAGAGGGCACCTCCTTTGATCCTGCGTGCTCGTGGCCCCTGGGCACCTCCCTGCAGGGCCTCGTAGCCATGGGCAGGGTCCCTGCGCCTTCCCTGCTCCGGGGGGAGTTGCCCTGTTCCCTGCCCTGCCCCAGCCCCCTCAGCAGCTTCCTGGGCTCCCCAGTGTGTCGAGCTGAGCCAGAGCTGGACACAGCACCCAGGCTCAGCACAGGAGGAGGATGAGCTCAGTTCTAACTGCCCGGACACTGCTGGCTGCTGGACAGACACACGGACGTGTCCGTCCCTGACCCTCCCAGCACAAACAGGGGCAGTTGTGACGCAGCAGCTGCAAAGGGAGCAGTCCCAGGTGCTGCAGGCTCCAGCACGAGGGGCTTGTCCCTGCTGGGGCAGCCAGGCGTGCTGGGGGTCCTGCCAGAGCACGTTCCCTGTGCTGCGGCCTTTTCCCTATCCTGGAAATGAAACCTGGGGCAGTTTTAGTAAGGAGGTATTACAAAAGGGGATCTTTATTTGGGGGCTTTCGGGGGCAGTTGTGGAAAGATGCCCACAGAAGCCCACCCATGTGGGATGAATACAGCTTTTCTAAGTTCAGCAAACCAGCATAATTGACCAAAAAGCACCAATTAGGAGCACAAGTGGTGATGGAATTCCCCCCTCTCCAGTGAAGCCCCTTCCCTGGAGCCCTCCCTTGGCACTGGCTGTACTGTGTCCATGAAATGCATCTCCAGGAGCTGCTCTCAGCCTTGGTAGCCAGGAAAGAACCAAGACAGCTCAGGGGCTTTGTGTCCCTGGGGCTTGGAGCTCTGGAATTCACTTTCCTTTTCTTTTGGGAAAGGCCATGGAAAAGTACTGGGAAAACTAGCCACTAATACAATAGAGGAAACTATGTGTGAAGAATACAGAGAATACAAAAAAGAAAAAAAAGGGCAAAATCCAAAATGGCATCACTGTGGACCCGCTTGCTTTTAAACTTACCGCAGCTGCTGCCTCAGTGGGCAGGAGGGAGACATCATTAGCTGCTTTCCAGCAGTTTGTTCTCAGTGAGGGCTGCTGCTGTTGGTGTGAGGAGGGCCCCACCCTGCTGGCACTGGGATCCAGCCAGGGTAACACGCTGCAATTACACAGACTCATTTTTCACCTTGGATTTGCTGAAAGGAACCAGGCAGAGGAACTCGGCGCTGGTGTGCTCCTGTTCTGAAAACCCTTGGCACCCCTCGGGCTGTGCTGTCAGTGCGTGATGAGGCCGTGCTGGGCTGGTCAGAGCTGCTGGGAGGGGAGGAGGCACAGCCCCCAGCAGGGCACAGCCCCGGGGCAGCCACGGGAGCACGCCAGGGCTCACCCTGTGTGGAAAACGCCAGCCACTTGTTCTTGACATTTTAAAAGTTTGATGGTAATGAAATGGTTATAAAAATAGTAATGTAATTAGAATAATCAAATTTGAACAGTTGAGATTAGGACAATATGAGACAATAAAAACAAAAAGATATGGACATCCAGGTGTGTTCTTGACATTTTAAAAGTTTGATGGTAATGAAATGGTTATAAAAATAGTAATATAATTAGAATAATCAAATTTGAACATTTGAGATTAGGACAATATCAGACAATAAAACAAAGAGATAGGGACATCCGGGTACCTTTTCCTGGGCAGCACAAGCCCGAAAAAGGACCCCGTTAACAGAGGAGTAACCCTTAAAAACAACAGCCTGCTGCATATTCATACACCTCACACAGAATGCATAAATTCCAGTCAAACACAGGATTCTGTCTGGTAATCTCCAACCTCTCCTCTTAATCCTAATGGCGTAATTGTGACTGAACAAGGCAGGAAGAAGTTAGTTTTTTGCTGACAAGGGAGCAATAAATTCCCTTTCTCTGGAAGACTTAGGTGTCCTGTGGCTGCTATCTGGTAGAAGTCCTTTCTTAAGAAAACGTATCTTACATAACATAGCTTCTGTTTTAACATTGTGTTATAACCTAGAACTGTACTTACCACGCTCCTCAAGACAATTAACACAGCAAGGGTGTCCTTCCCCAGCACCCGGGGGCTGCAGCATGTCACCAAAGGGACAGCTCTCCCCTCTGCAGCCCTGTGCACCTGCACCCTCCAGGGCTGCCTGGCACTGCCCAGCACAGCTGGCCTCCCCAAAGGGAGCACTGAAGCATTCACACAGCAGAGGAGTTCAGTTGTCTTTCAGGCAAACAAAGTCACGTCTGAAATCCACATCTTACAAGCGTTATCAAATAACCACAAATTGCCTGTGCGTAACCCACTCTGACAAACAGCAGAGCTCAAAAGGTAATTAAAGTACACCTCCTTTTATGTGCCCATGCCTGACGGGTGCTTCACTCGTCTCAGCTGCGGGGAGCCCAGCAGGGTGGGCATGGCCCACTCCTGGGGAGCACCCAGCTGTGCTGGGGTTCAGGAGTGCCAGGACGAGGGAAGAGAGGAGAATCTGACCCCGTGTTTCAGAGGGCTGGGTTATTATATTATATATATTGCATTAAATTATATACTAAAACTGTGTTTTAGTATATAATGTGCTCTGGACATTGTTTACCAGCAGGTGCACCTGGGATTGGTGCATGTTGGTTGTTTCTAATTAATAACCAACCAAAGATGCAGCTGCATCAGACTCTGGGAGTCAGCAGCGTTTGTTACCATTCCTCTCCTGTCATTTCTAGCCCTCTGATGGATCCTTTTTCTCTGTTCTTTTAGTACAGTCTTAATATAGCATTTAATATAATATATATCATAATATAATAACCAGCCCTCTGAAACACGGAGTCAGGATTCTCCTCTCCTCACTGATCCTGGTGTCAGCGTTCAGGAGCACACAATCACAGAGTGATTCTGTGCAGGTGCTTTTATTGCAGAGCTCTGGGTGTCAGGGGTACAGACCCAAATCTGACTCTGCCATGGGTTCGGGATGAACATGTTTTGTATTCTATCACTATATAACTTACATATTAATTAATAAACTTACGTTGTTCTATTGTATACATTGATTTCATCCAAGCATGGGGTTCTTGTGATTCCCCCTCAAACCCTTGAGCATGGATTCTTATGATTCTTCTTACAATCAAACAGTAATTATATTTAATTACTAAACAATCATCACATCTAGCAATTATATAATTTATCATATACTGGTTATGCAGGTGTAATTTCACATGATCTAGCAAACACAAGGCCTAACATTTCCCAGGGCCTACTTTTAACATTTTCCCAGGATATACTAAGCCCAGCTTTCTTTCTACCTCCCCGAATTTTCTGTGATTGTAAAGTCTGTTATTATCATGGCCAGGGGTGGGTCGTGCAGCCCCCGGCCTCTGCAGCTGTGCTTTTACAGGCTGGAGTGGCCCGGCTGACCCCAGTCTGCCCCACAGTGACACCTCCGCGGTGGTGTCACCGCTGGGTGCAGAGGGCAGGCGGCTGCACTCACCTGGGCTGCACTCACTCCCCTGGCTGCATTCTCCCGGCTCGGAGCTCTCTCTCTCTCCCCGCGGAGCTCTCTCTCCCCTCGGAGCTCTCTCTCTCTCCCCGCGGAGCTCTCTCTCCCCTCGGAGCTCTCTCTCTCTCCCCGCGGAGCTCTCTCTCCCCTCGGAGCTCTCTCTCTCTCCCCGCGGAGCTCTCTCTCCCCTCAGAGCTCTCTCTCTCCCTGCCCGGAGCTCGCTCCCGGCTCGGAGCTGTCTGTTATCAGCTCGGAGCTCTCTCTCTCCCCTCAGAGCTCTCTCTCTCCCCTCAGAGCTCTCTCTCTCCTCTCGGAGCTCTCTCTCTCCCCTCGGAGCTCTCTCTCTCCCTGCCCGGAGCTCTCTCCCGGCTCGGAGCTGTCTGCTATCAGCTCGGAGCTCTCTCTCCCCCTCACGCCGTTCCCGCCTCCACCCTCTCGCCCCCGCCCCGCCCTCGTGGGCGTGGCCAGACGAACGCCGCCGCCCGATTGGCGGGCGCGGCGCTGGTGTCCGTCCCCCCCGCGCCCTGGGCAGCGGGAGCGGGCGGGCGGGGCGGGGAGGGCCCGCCGGGACTGCTGTGCACCGGCAGCGCGGGGCTGCCCGGCACGGACACGCCGCGGCGGCAGCCTGCAGAGCGAGCGGCCTCCCGTGCTCACCCCTCCTGCCTCTGCCTTTCTGCCCCCCACGCCCTTTTCTTCCTTCCCTTTTCCCCCAGCTCCTTTCTCTCTCTGTCCTTCCCTTGCCCCTTTCTCTCTCCCCGCCTCGCTTGGGTAGCTGCTCACGCCGGGCAGGGCTTGCGGAGCTCCCGAGCTCCTCCTGCCCTGAGGGGGCTGGGGGTGACAGAGCCTGGCCCCGGTGTCTGGGCAGCGCTGCTCAGCTGTGCCCTCCCCACACACCCCTTAGATCCCGGGTCTCCTGTGTGCTGCTGGGGAGGATCTGAGGCTCAGGAGCAGCCAGAGCCTCACACGGCTGTCACAGCCCTTTCTGAGCTGGGCCGTGGGCGAGGGAGGCCTTTGGGCACCTGCAGAAGCATCTTGTAACGTTAAATGACTAATCCCCTTCTTGTGTCCCACAGGTAGAGATCCCTGGGGTCCTGCTGCAGGCTGGGTGGCCGGGCTGCCTCTGCACACCCGTCAGGAGCCTGGACTCGGGAGCCGTGCCAGCAGAGCGGGGCTGATGCAGAGCCGGCGGCGTGGCAGTGAGCTGGGGCTCGTGCTGGCTTTCTGCACCCCGCTTGGCCCCCCCTGTGCTGGGGGTGCTCAGCTGCTGCCGCGTTCCCTGGCGCTTTGTGCCGCGGGCTGCCGCGCTCAGGGTTTGTGATGCCGTGTTCGCTGCAGTTTTGGTTTTCCACAGGCGTCTAGCTCTTGTGTTCACACGGCGTGAGGCCGACCTTCCGCTGCATTTCCAGGGGATTTATCTCAGTTTGACCTCGGGGCAGCACAGAGGGGGGAGCGCTGCCGTGTGTGCCCGCTGGCTGCCAGCAGCAATGGCCCAGCCCGTGCCAGCCCTGTCCCTTGGCCGTGTGTGCCCGCGGCGCGGTGCCCGCCTGGGGTGACGGTCTCTCCGCTCCCTGCGCACGGGGCAGCCCGCCATGGCCCCGGCGGGCGCCGAGGAGGCGGCGGGCTCCTCGGGCAAGCACTACGTGTGCGGGCTGTGCGCGGCCTTCACCAACATCGCGGTGACGTTCCCCATCCAGAAGGTGCTGTTCCGGCAGCAGCTGTACGGGCTGCGCGCCGGCGAGGCCGTGCGCCAGCTGCGCCGCGACGGGCTGCGCACGCTCTACCGCGGCATCCTGCCCCCGCTGCTGCAGAAGACCACCACGCTGGCCCTCATGTTCGGCCTCTACGAGGACTTCTCGGCGCTGCTGCTGAGCCACGGCCGCGCCCCCGAGCTGGTGACGCGCAGCGCGGCCGCCGCGCTGGCCGGCACCACCGAGGCCGTGCTGACGCCCTTCGAGCGCGTGCAGACGCTGCTGCAGGACTACAGGCACCACGACAAGTTCACAAACACGTACCAGGCCTTCAAGGTGCTGAAAGCCTATGGGCTGCGGGAGTATTACCGGGGATTGGTGCCCATCCTGCTGCGCAACGGGCCCAGCAACGTGCTCTTCTTCGGGCTGCGCGGGCCCATCAAGCAGTGCCTGCCCGAGGCCAGCTCGCACAGCTCTCACCTCATCAACGACTTCATCTGCGGGGGGCTGCTGGGCGCCGTGCTGGGCTTCCTCTTCTTCCCCGTCAACGTCGTAAAGACTCGCATGCAGGCCCAGATTGGTGGCGAATTTCAGTCCTTCTCCAAAGTGTTAGTGAAGATCTGGCTGGAACGCGACAGGAAGGTGATGCACCTCTTCAGGGGAGCCCACCTGAACTACCACCGCTCCGTGCTGTCCTGGGGGATCATCAACGCCACCTACGAGTTCCTGCTGAAGCTGCTGTGACCCTGTCCTGCTCGTGGGGCAGCAGCACTCGGCGTCCCGGGTCCCAGGGAGCAGTGCCTGTGCGTGTGACAGGTAATTCCTCCCAGCCTTCCGTATTTATGGGGTGAATGGTGATGCATTTAAACCTTGGTGCAATTATGGTGAACTTCTTAAAGTATTCCTTTGCTGGCAGGTGAGTTTGCCCATCACAGAGCTACCAGACAAACAGAAGGTGTAAAAGAGGAAAGAAATGTAGTCTGTATCACTCCCAAAGTTGTGCTGTGCTCTGTGGTGGGATGCACTCCACTGCCCATGTTTAGAACATGAGAATCAAGGAGGAGCTGAAGAAAAACAATTCCATTGCCTGATCATCTTCGCAGTCTCGATTCTGGAACTGCATTTTCAGATGTTGTGGGGTCCTCATTGTGTAAAGCTCAAAGGACAGATACCGAAGGGGATGGCTGAGGTGCAGAGCTCCCAGCTGCACCTCGGCGTGCTGCAGGCCCCTCACGGGTGGCCTGTGGTGACCGTGTCCTCCAGCCATGCACTGAGCGTGTGAGCTCAGCCCTGGCTGGATCTCTGTGCGTGTGTGTGCGTGTTTGTACGTGTGCCTTCCTGTGAAAAGGGAAAAGTGGAAGGAATGGGACAGCAAACTCACTAAAGCTTTAAAGTGTCCTTCCTCGTTAAAAAACATGGAGTTTGTTCTGCTTCTTCTGAGGACTTTTTATTTTTTATTTGCTGCTTTTTCTGTTGCCTCCAGCTGCAGGATCAGGGAGGTGTCCCTGTGTGTAGGGACGCTCCAGCTCCTGCAGCTGCTCAAGCACTTCTCACGGCTTTTTGCACTGCCACGTCTTGTCTTTCCTCAGCTCCCTCTGCGGAGTTACCGATCGCGGGATGTTTGTACCCAAAACTCGGGGTTCTGCTCATGGCTCTGCAGCACAAGCGTGGCACGGGCAAGGTGAGAGTCCTGGGTTACCTGCTTCAGTGGAGGTCTGTAGGTGTAGTGCAGATGACAAGCCAAAGATGACCTTGGAAGCAGGGAGCAGGAAGGGTGGAGTGCTTGGAGACGTGTTTCAGGACTTCTGTAGGGAAACGTTGGAAAGGACTGACAGAAATCTGTGTCTGACAGACATGGGAGATGAGAGAGAGGAGACTTGAGGCTTTAGATACAGGGACAGAAGAGCGAGCACAACCCTGAGCTAGATGAGGGTCCCAGCACAAGTGTTTGAATCTCCCTGAGGGCTTCTTCTTTAGTGAAACTATACATTCACACATAAACCAAAACACTTTGGATGATGGGGAGCAGCACAGCTTTCAGAAACTGCTTTGAATTTAGTCTTTTCTTAAGTCTTGGAGGGGCTATTGCTTTTCTGAATTTGAGTTCTCCATTTGCTACAACTGTCTTCCGAAATCAATCCTAATCAGTGTGTTGTAATCATACAGTCCTGAGCTTCAGACAGCAGCGGGTGGGCACAAGCACGAGTTCCTGTATCCCAGTGGTGATTATCTTCATCTAAATAAAATGTTTACTGGATGTTTGTTACTGGCAGAATCTGATTTTTACCAGTGTACCTTCTTTTTGTAATCACTCCTTGATGGAATAAAAACAAAATCTGCATCCTGTTCCTCTGTGGAAGGTGTTATGTGCTCCTGTAATGTCGGGGAAGCCAGAGTGTTGAGGGTGAGAGTTTGGCACAAGCCCAGAGCTGGTCAGTGCCCAGCTACCTCAGCAGAAATGAAATACTAGAGCCCTGGGTCTGAGGTTCAGAGTCACTTTTGACTCTTCGTATGTCACTTTCAGAAAATTTTAATGTAAAAGCACTACCGTGACACACACTCTTGTGAATGGCAGCATCTAAGCGCTAGGAAGTGTTTCTCCTCTTAATTTTAGGGGGCAGGCAAGAGCCAGCATGGCTCATTTTAACGTAAATAAAAGACATTTCAATTCAGTGCATTATTAAATGTTTATTATGCAAGCAAGAGAAACTGTCCACAAATAGTAAGTTACTGTACGGCTGTAAGTACAATACTTCCAAAGCAGTTCTGATACTTCATATACGGTATTAAAAGGCTACAGTCTTTACTATGAAATCTCAGGTATTTCAAAATACTCTACATGCACAATTTGTTTCTGTATTAAAAACCTTATACTTAACTGAGGATATTTAGTGCTTTAGAAAATGCACCTTTGACTAAGATCAGCCAATGAGAAGTTTCTGTTTCCTGCAGGTTAAAAACATGATGGGTCGTTGACTTCTTCCTTTCTCTCCAACTTTTTAGAATCTTGTAAACTAATTTTTTTGAAAGCTTTCGTTTGGCAAGTGTATTTCTCTTTTCTAAGAGTTTATATCTCCTAGAGCAACAGACCCATGCATTACGATGTCAGAACCTTCTCCACATCAGTGCTACCCAAATTAAAATCACAACACAAACAAAACCAAACCCCACTAAATTAACCGAGACCCCTCCCCGCCCCCCCGAAAAAACTGATGTTTACATTCTAATTCTGGTAGTAGGCATCGAGCTGTCCTTACCCCAAGACTCCACGAGTGCAAACAATCGTGTGTGTGTGTGTGTATGTGTGTGTGTGTGCCGGCACCGCTGTGCTTTTCCTCTATCCCCATGGTGTGGCGGTGCCATCCCTGCGTGACCCGGAGCTCCGTGGGCACACCAGGCTGGGTGGAGAACCAGCCCTGACACTGCCCGGGCACCGCGGGCACACGGGGCCAGGTGGAGAACCAGCCCTGACACCACCCGGGCACCGCGGGCACACCAGGCCGGGTGGAGAACCGGCCCCGACACCGCCGGGCGTTCTCTGCCGGGAGCACCCCCAACGCTCGGCCCCGCGCAACGCCCTGGCATTCATCCTGGGCTGCCGCGCTAGGGCACAGCCACCCCCGCCCTCCATCTCCCTTGGAAATGTTTCCTTACAGTTGTTTCACAGTTTTATACACTTCTCAAGGTCGAGCATTCGACGTTTGAAACACAACTAGAAGATAAGCTTTTTTTTTTTTGTTTGTTTGACTACCTAGAAATAACCTGAAGCTCACCAACACATAATTTCATTGCTTCAGTAATGCTACTGAGAGAGAACTGAAAACACTTACACCACCACATGACTGTGAGGCATGTCAGCTGTAAGCCACTGAGAAGTGAACTTCACAGGTAAAACATGGTAAAGCCTTCATGGAGAACTTCCAGGTTTGTTGAAAAGGAGCAATCAATTGAATGACCAAAATCTAAGACTACCTACTTACTCTAATTCAAACTTATTACAAATGTCATCAGAAAAACTAAGTAACATTTCTACAGCATACATGTACAGATTCTGTCATTTTATGCATCTGCTGGACACGCTACAAAAGCATCAAGGTGACCAAACCCCTGCACCAGGTGAGCTGCTGGTCCCAGAGCCAGGCAGGGCCTGACAACCACCCACAGGTGCTATCAAGGACACATCTGTCACACATCTGCCACGTGGGGGTCATGGTCCTCTACACAGAAAGGTGAGTGTCCAAAGCTCAGCACAATACTGGTGTAAAACACAGCGTATCATGAGGTAGAATTAAAAAGGTAACACTCAGTGCATATTCACAGGCATAGCGTTACAGTCACTAGGGATCCACCAGTCTGAGGAGGCTCTGACAGGAAAACACAAACACCCTTGGAAACACACAGACAGACCCACCCAGGGACCACCCCAGCCCCGTGGGTGCTCCTGCACCTCCAACACAAACAGGTGCAAGCCCGTGAAAACGCCAAGGTTCTCCCAAGTGTCCCTGTACTCCCTTCCATGACGTGTAATTAAACATTAAATAAGCTGAGGAAACAGTAGCCTGGCAGTGGGACAGCGAATGCCTGGGGAAAAGCTGCTGCAGTCCTGGGCAGGACCTGGGTATTTTCCCCAAACAAACTCCTTGTACCTCCTCCCTTGCACAAAAATCCTGCATGCCAGGCTTGTCCCCACGTTTCCTGCACACTGCACTCCCAGGTGATGACCCACAGCCAGGGCAGTGCTCCACAACCCAGCAGACCCACCTGCCCCTCGAGCAGGCTCAGGCCAGCAGAAGGGATGTTTGCCCTCAGATTACCTAACACACAAACCCGAAGGCTTTGTACGACCAAAGAAATTCTCCAAGAGGAAACTTGGGATTTTCTTCTCTCATAGTGCAGAGGAGGCTTAAGTGTCAATGAATTCTGCACCAACACCACATAAATACAAAGCTACAGGAGGGTCCTCAGGCTTACCTTTCCAGCTCTCTCATGTCCACAAATGTTGTCTTTATCCCCAAATACGTTTTGCAAAAGGCTTTGTAAGAGTCAGCTTTGAACAAGTGTGCTCTGCTGAGCCACAGAGTGTACCTGAACACCAGCAGGTGACAGTCCTTTCAGGTGAAGTTCCCTGCTGAACTGAGTGTGTGACTAGTCTGCAGAACTTCAGTGAAATACTAAAAAACCCTCATCTTGGGACACATAAGTGATGAGAATGTTATGAACTGATATGGATGTACAATACCTGTGCATTTACAAGGGTAGCTCTATAACGCGAGGGCTGAAATCTGGCATTCATACTCTGGGTGTGACCACAGAATCACAGAATCCCCTGAGCTGAAGGGACCCACGGGATCACCCAGTGCCACCCTGCCCTGCACAGACCCCCAGCAACCCACCCTGGGCATCCCTGGAGTGCTGTCCAGGCTCTCCTGGAGCTCTGGCAGCCTCGGGGCTGTGCCCATTCCCTGGGGAGCCTGGGCAGTGCCAGCACCTCTGGGGGAAGCAGAACCTTCCCTGATCTCAGCCTGAGCTGCCCTGGCCCAGCCCCAGCCGTGCCCTGCTCCTGTCCCTTGTCACAGCAGTGAGGAGATCAGCACCTGCCCCTCCACTGCCCCACAGGAGGATGCTCAGGAGCACCTGGAGATCTCATCTCAGACTCCTCCAAGCTGAACAAACCAAGAGATCTCAGCTGCTCCTCAAACAGCTTCCCCATGAGACCCTCTCACCAGCGTGATCATCACAGTGCTCCACACCTGATGATAAGCCTGGTTAGATCCAGGCTGATCCCACTGACGACAGGTTTGCTTTTAATCCTCCCAAACTGACAGCACGTGAAGAAAGGCTCACCTGGCAATACTAGGGACACATCCAAATTAACTTCCCCCACAGACAGAGCGCAGGCCAGGTGTGTGTGTGGAAAACCAGCCAGGTGGGCAATACCCAAACATCAGCAAAAAGCCACCATGATTGAGATGTGGACAGCCCCTTGCAGGAGACACCTGGCAGAGGAGAGGCCAGAGCTGCCCTGCTGCACGAACCCAGAGATGCTCAGGGCCAGGGTCCTCCCTAGTGCTCAGTGCAGGCTCAATCGAGTGCAGGGGTGGGCCTGGGTGACCTCCAGTGGTCCCTGCCAGCCTAAGCCACACCGTGACTCATTCTAGCCAATGACAACCATATTAACATACAAATGAAAGCAAAATTCCTTTTTCTTTTTTTTTTTCTGTTTTTGTTTTTTTTGGTGGGAGTAACTAACCGTGTTGCTTACGTAGACAAGCAGTCCATTATCTACTAATCAGCACAGAGTTGCTTCAGTGGCAGGAGAGGAAGCAGAGGTGAGGCAGTCCAGCTCCTGTGGCACCCTGCCCCTCTGTGCTGCTCCCGAGAGCCCGCTGGAGTTGTGCTGAAGGAAACAATCAAGTACCAGGGCACGAACACAGCAGGAGAGCGGCCGGTGGCACAGCACCAGCAGGAGCAGAGTCTGCTGGCGGGGCCGTGGGCTCAGGGAGGCAGGACCCAGATCCACACGGGGCTGAGAAATCCTTCCACGGCACGTCCCGAGGCCACGGCGGCCTGCTCTGGGCTCAGAGGGTTTGCAGAGAGCACACTTCCACCCGGCTGGAGGAACAGCCGCGCGCCGCCGCCGGGCTAGAACTTTGGCTGGTAGAGGGAGACGCGTCCGCTAAGGCACCCCGAGGCGATCTGACAGTGCGTGGGGGAGAACTTGGTGGTGAGCACCACGTCGTTGTGGGAGTAGAGCGAGCGGATCTCGCGCAGGGGGCTGGCCTCCCGCGGCAGGCAGTCCACCAGCTCGCTGCAGTGCGCGTCGAAGCCCAGCAGGCGGATGCCGAAGCCGTGCGGGGACGAGATCATGCGGCCGTCGGGGCTGAAGCAGAGCTCCTTGATGTAGCCCCGGCCCACGTTGGCCTCCTCGATGCAGTGCGTCAGGCGCAGGGAGCAGCGCGGGGACACGGGGCGCACCGGGGCTCCTTCCTGGAATTCATAGACACAAGTCCACTAAAGGGAGAGGCAGAGAAAGGGACACTGAAAGAGAAGTCAAGCACTGCAAACACACATTTCCCCCCCCCCGCACCTCTACAGGTGACACAGCTTATGTGAAGTCAGGTGAAGGCACAGGAGGGAGATGCTCCTGCTGAGCTGCTCCTCAACCAGCACCCCGAGCAGGCCACTGCCTCAGCATCTCCTCCCTGTGAGCCACCCAAGCCAAGCAGCTGCTCAGCACTACAGCTGCTATTCTGATTAAATGGGTGCTAGATATAATCTTCCCAATCTAGGTTTCATCTGCAGAGAGCACAGCCTAATCCTGTGGCCAGGCACCTGCTCTAATTCAGTAAATATTTAAATCTGTACAGTCAGATTCAGCTGACTGTACCTCAGAGCAGATCACTGGCATTTTATGCCTTTGACTTCAAAAGGAATGGAATCTTGAAGCAAGCAGGTAGCAGATGTTTGAGGGAAGGTTATGAAAAGCTCTGCAGCCACTTTGTTATTTGTGAGACACATTAAGGATTCCTGTCTGTCACCTCATTATTTAATCTCAAAACAAATGTAAAAAAAAACCAAAACCCATGACAAAGTTTATATTGTGTTGATTCCACTTCAGCCCCAAGCCAAGCATTCCTAACTCTGTTTGATGCATCCTTCTGAATTAACCACAACACGAAAAGTACCAATGAATATTAACAAAACAGAGTAAGGCAGACTCCAGGACTAAGAGAAATTATAGTCAATCATCAGTACCAACTGACCCAATGTAACATTTTGCATGTTACAATTATTCTGCATTGTATAGCAGTCTGATTGTTGCAGAACCAGCATTAAAATTAATAACCAATCTGCTAAGCTTCCACTCAGCCCTCTACACTTGTGTAAAGGGTCACCATTACAAAGAGTGACTTTCTTCAACAAAAAAATCCCACCAAACCAATGAACCTCAATTTACATCAGCAATCAAAGTAACTAAAACATTTATCATTGGTGCAGTACTGTTGTCTACTGTTGGTCAAGTCAGAGGAGCAGATTCTGCACCTTGCAGCTGAACTGCAGGCGGTCTTATAACTTCCTGCACCAAGGAAAAGTCTTGAAGCAGGTTCTGCCAGGAAGAGAATTTCAGAACTAAACCCAAAAGCACATATTTGAAAGAAGAAGAGGAGCAGGGTGTTACCTCCTGGTCGTCTGTGTTGCTGGAGCACCGCAGCAGCGTGGCCCAGCCCTTGGGGTGCAGCTGCAGCGACGTGATGCAGTTCCCTCGGTCTCTTTCTCCAGGAACCTCGGGTGTCAGCACCTCGAGGCTGTTCCTCGGTGATCCCCCTGCGAGGGAATTAACTGTGAGTCTCAGAGAAACCCACACAACGACCTCACCTCTCTCACCAGTGCTGCTGCTGACATGGGGTCACACCTGTGGCTGCCAGGACAGACTGCAGGGAAACTCAGGGGGTCACAGGAACCCCGAGCCAACACCCACGGGCTCAGCCCCCACTTCAAACACCAAATTTTCATGAAACCTGAGTGCCAAGACCTGCACTGAACCCACCACACTGACAACTACACCAACCCTCCACACTTATGCCCCTCATTACTAGTACAGCAAAATCTACAGAGTGAGGCTTTTATAAGAATTGCTGATTCTCAGACTTGTACAATGTGCTTCCCAAATTCCTCCCTTTTCTCCCTTCTTCCCCTCACCCCTAGGTAAATCACTCCCTGGCATGCAGTAAGCCTCCTCTCAGCATCTCACAATCATGAGTAGCTAAAGAGTAACACTACATTTCTTTGAAATTGCAAGGGGTGCACAAAGTATGCACCTATTTGCCAAATTCACGCTGATTCTCTGGATTTTTCCCTAAAATAGCATTCGGAAAAACACAAGGCACGGAAAAACACAAGGAAAAGAGAGTACCTCTAAGAAACAACAACATATTGACATAAAATACAGATCTTGTACTTTTACCAGATTTCTCGGACAAAAAACCTGATTAGATCCCCTGGCTTTGGTGTGCAATGAGATTTTGTTGGTTTAATACGAGTCCCAGCAACACCATTCCTTAAGAACCACAGCACAAAAAAAGCAGTCTTTCACTACTGCACCCTGGCCTCCCCTCACCCCTAGGTAAATCACACCCTGGCATGCAGTAAGCCTCCTCTCAGCATCTCACAACCATGAGTAGCTAAAGAGTAACACTACATTTCTTTGAAATTGCAAGGGGTGCACAAAGTATGCACCTATTTGCCAAATTCACGCTGATTCTCTGGATTTTTCCCTAAAAGAGCATTCACACCAAGTTTGTTCACGGAAAAACACAAGGAAAAGAGAGTACCTCTAAGAAACAACAACATATTGACATAAAATACAGATCTTGTACTTTTACCAGATTTCTCGGACAAAAAACCTGATTAGATCCCCTGGCTTTGGTGTGCAATGAGATTTTATTGGTTGACTACGAGTCTCAGCAACACCATTCTTTAAGAACCACAGGACAAAAAGCAGTCTTTCACTATTGCACTCTGGCCGCTTTTGGATACAGTAAATCAAAGCCCAGGATTTCTTTTCATTTCTCTTTTTTCAGTGATCTCTTCCTACCTTCTCGCTGGGAGGGCCGTGACAAGGTTTTCTCAGAGGGCGGCCCTGAGTTGTTCTGGTGACAGGGTGAGCCCACAGCTCGAGGGCCAGAGGAGCCTGATGACGTTATGTCTGCAAACACACCAGACAGGTGAGCCCACAGGTAGCCCAGCACACCTGGGCTGCTGGCCAGGAGCAGCCCAGAGAACAGCCCACAGCCCCGAGGCCCTGCCACGGCTCCCCAGCACTCACCTGAGCTCGACGTGGTCCTCCTGGCTCGTAAGATCGGGTAGCTGCCAACCTCTAAAGACTTGTTTAGGTCAAGGTCGTGCAAAATCAGAAGGTAACCGGAGGAGGTGGAGATCAGCATTTTGGAACAGTCTGGAGTCAGCCTCATTCGCATCAGAAAACGGGTGTGGAAAAACTTCTTGTGGGGACATCCATCCTCTGTGCACCTGGACAGCAAGACAAGCACAGGAGGGGCTGTGGTCAGCTCCAGACTGAGGCCTTCAGTGTGCCCACAAGGGTCCAGGGTGTGCCCAAAACCTTTTTTTCAAGCGCTGTCTTTATCCTGCTTTTTAATGGAATGGGTGAAGTCACATCATTCCACAACTACAGCAATGAGGACAGAACCTTCTTTGGCAGGAAGAGCCATGCCCTGGCACAGCAGCAAGAGAAGCTCCTTTCCAGCCATTTACTATTGCCAGCGAGGCAATGCAAGCTCTTGGCAAGGGCTATAAACTGGTCCCAGTGCTTCGGAACGCACTGCAGCCCCACTCTGGGAGGCACAGAAGGCAGGTGTACCTGCGCAGGTGTACCTGTGCCGCGGCCCAGCCCCGCACCTGTTGGTGTCCCAGATGATGACGTTGCCATCGAAGCCCGAGGTGACCAGCAGGCGGGTGTTGGTGTCGTACTCGATGTTCTTGACCCAGCTGGTGTGGCCGTGCAGCGTGCACACCTTGGTGTTGAGCTTCCTCAGGTCCCAGAGCGCGATGGTGGTGTCGTCGGAGCACGTGGCGAACAGCCGGTTATCCAGGAACCTGGCAGGAGGGAACAGCCTCAGGGCGCCCTGCACGGCCAGCAGGACAGCGAGCCAGCACGGAGAGCAGCCCAAAAACACCCCCTGAACCCGCCAACGAGAGCAGGAAAAGAAACCCCCCGAACTAGCCACAGCAGAGACACCGGAGCAGGCCACAGAAACCCCTCTGAACCAGCCTCTTGCCAAAACAGAGACACCAGACCAGCAAACAAACCCCTCTGAACTAGCCAACGAGAGCAGCCCAAAGAAACCCCCTCTGAACCAGCAATTTGCCAAAACAGAGACACCAGAGCAGCCCACATAAACCAGCTCTGAACTAGCCAATACCAGAGCAGCCCCAAAGAAACCCCCCCTGAACTCAGCACAGAGATACCAGTGCACCCCAAACAAACCCCCCATGAACTAGCCAACAAGAGCAGCCCAAAGAAACCCCCCTGAACTAGCCAATGCAGAGATACCACAACAACCCCAAACAAACCCCCTCTGAACCAGCCACTAGCCAGAGCAGAGATTCCAGAGCAGCAAAGCACGGAGAGCAGCCCAAAAACACCCCCTGAACCCACCAACGAGAGCAGGAAAAGAAACCCCCTGAACTAGCCACAGCAGAGACACCGGAGCAGGCCACAGAAACCCCTCTGAACCAGCAATTTGCCAAAACAGAGACACCAGAGCAGCCCACATAAACCAGCTCTGAACTAGCCAATACCAGAGCAGCCCCAAAGAAACCCCCCCTGAACTCAGCACAGAGATACCAGTGCACCCCAAACAAACCCCCCATGAACTAGCCAACAAGAGCAGCCCAAAGAAAGCCCCTCTGGACTAGCCACCAGCCACAGAGATACCATGGCAGCCCAAACAAACCCCTCTGAGCTCAGCAGAGCAGTGCAAGCAGAGCTGCTGGGGTATGAACCAGCAGCACCTCTGGAGCAGCCCACGAGCAAACACAGAGGCACAGCACGAGTTTGGTGCGGGGTTTTTTAGGGGGTTTGTGTGCTGATGAAGTGTGTGCCAGCCACACAGGAGCCAAAGCACCAGACAGACCCCTGTGGTAACTCAGTCTGCCGCCCTGTGCACAGCACCCAGCTCGCTGGGGCTGGCACAGCACAGCCAGCAAACCAAGGGAATGAACAGGGCCTGGAGGCTCCTGAGGCAATTGCAAGGCTTTCCAAAGCCACCGAGCAAGGGCGAGACCTTGTGTGAGCACACAGGGGACTGGGTTCAGTGAGAAAGTGACCGCATGGGATCACTGAGTGAGCGCTGTGCAGATCAAAGGTGAGCACACGGGAGCTCAGCGCGGCTCAGCGTCAGGACAGGGCACGCTGGCTCGTGTTTGCAACTCATTCAGAGAGGGCACCCCACTAAGGAAAGCCCTGCCTGAGGTACAAGGAACAAAACTCCCCTCCAAATGTAGGCCCAGAGCTGCAAAAGCAGCAACAGCAACCCACTGCCACGGGAAAAACCCCAAATTCTGGTAAACAGTAAGCAGTTTTGGTGCTGCCACAGGGAACTCCTGCAGCGACTGCAATCCTGCTCACGAACCTGAGCAAGGCTCCAGAGGCCAGCTCCTTTGTGTCACACAGACACACGTGTTAGGCCCCTTTCCTGACACACGCCCAGCTGATGTGAAACATCACTGTTTTGTAAAAAGGACAGCCAGCTTGTGAAAAACACCAACTTAGCTGATGGACACGGCACCCCACATCATGTTTGGCTCTTCTGAGTGAAAACACTCAGAGTTTTCTTGGTTTTTTTGCTAGGGTTCTGTTCTTGGTTGAAGTTTTTTGCTGCTGTGTAGTTGGTTGTTGTTTTGGGGTTTTGGAGTGGGTTTTTTCCTTTGAGAATCTCAGTGAAGAGCAGCTGCAATACTGTCAAGAATTTACACCTCAAAATGTATTCCCAGAACCAGAACAACTTAAAACCCCTGACTTCAGATGGAAAAATACAACATAGGAATTGTGATGGGTTTGGAGTCCTGCTCCTGCTGTTTCCAGCTCCATCCCAAAAAGCGGCAGAGTGAGAATTAAACCACAACGCCCAAGCAGAGGCTGAGTTGTGTCAACACGTCCCTCCTGACCCACCTGATGTTGTTGACACAGTCCTCGTGGGCCTCGGAGAGGGTCTTGATGTGCTTGGAAGAGATGGGGTCAAAGAGCAGGACCTCCGTCTGTTCACAGGCCACGGTCAGCACGGAGCTGCGGGGAGCACAACACAACACCCCACGTCTGTGCCGGGTTTTGCCCTCCAGCTGCCACCACAGATTCCTGTGTCACCTGTCCCTGTGCCCACACCTTCCAGGGGCTCTCAGACAGCACAGGCAGCACTCAAACAAAGCCTCATCTGCAGTGCCTGTTTGCCCTGTTGCAAACCAGCAGGGTTCTTTCACTGAAACCTTGCAAAGCACAGATTTATCAGCAGCAGGAGCCCCCAGCAGGAGCGTGTCACCCCAGTCCCCTCCTGCACACAGGTGAGCTGGGAGGGCTCAATCCCGGGGGGCACACCTGGATCCCGGGGGGCACACCTGGATCCGGAGCACAGCTGGATCCCGGGGGGGAGCACACCTGGATCCCGGGCACACCTGGATCCAGAGCACACCTGGATCCCGGGGGGCACACCTGGATCGCGGGGGGGGGTACATCTGGATCTTGGGCACACCTGGATCCCGGGCACACCTGGATCCCGGGGGGGAGCACACCTGGATCCCGGGCACACCTGGATCTTGGGCACACCTGGATCCCGGGAGGCGCACCTGGATCCCGGGGGGGGGTACATCTGGATCTTGGGCACACCTGGATCCCGGGCACACCTGGCCGGGGAGCCCCGGCACACCTACCCGTCGGGCGAGTACTCGAGGTTGAAGACGGCGCCGTGCGTGCGGGTGCTGAGGGACACGGAGTCGGCGGGCTGGATGGCGCCGTACAGCCCGGTCATGGCGCCGAACGTGTCCCGCGCCGGGTCCACGGCGGCCCCGCGGCCCAGGCAGCGCCCGCGCAGCCAGGCGAAGAGGCCGCCGGGGGCGGCGGGCCCCGCGTCGGCGGGGGCGGCGTGG